CTTAGAACCACAGCCCTCCCTCCCACAGTTGCTGACTCTGCATGTCTGAGCGTCCTGGCGTGGGTGTGAGGGCTAGCGCCAGGGGTGATGTTCCTTAGAGCTTTCCTGAGGCCCAGGTTTTCTCTCCCCATGACCGCTGCGTGCTAACTGCACCAGGTCAGGATAGGAAACCAAGGGAATAGGAAAGGCGGCCATGTTCTTTTTCTCCTCAGCGTCTCCCACCTTCTAAGATTTTCTGTGTGTATTTGTGCTGTCTGGTTCCCCAACGCAAGGTCAGGTCCTGGAGAACTGTGTGACCTGGGTCTAGTGCTTGATAAACATTCGATAAACACACGTGAAACCAAGGAATGAATGAGTGAATAGTTAAATTCACCCGTACAACACAGATCATAAAACAAGTTAAATTTACAAATAGTGCAATCCATGTATGAAAATGCCATCAAGTTTAAATACTGTTTGATAAAGGTAACATGTTTATTCTAAGAAAAAATTTAAGTGTAGGAAAACATTTCAATCACCACATTGGAGATAGCCACTACTTAAATTTTGTCATATTTGCTTTCAGTGTTATTTCTTTGCAAAAGAGAAACATATATTTGTGTGTGTGTGTGTGTGTGTGTGTGCATACATATACATGCATGTATATGAAATTAAATATACAGATGAAATAGACAGAAGTATATCCTTTTTAAACATTGCATCGTAAACATTGACTGAGTGCAGCGGTCCCCCATTAGCTGTGGTGTCACTTTCCATGTGTTCAGTTACCCGCAGTCAACTATGATCCAAAAATATAAAGTGGAAAATTCCAGAAATAAACAATTCATGAAGTTTGAAACTGCACGCCATTCTGAGTACTTCACTTCATCTCATCACATCGGCATTGTATCATCTCACATCATCACAAGAATAGTGAGCACAGCACAGTAAGATATTTTGAGAGAGAGACCACATCACATAAATTTTATTACAGCATGTGTTTATAATTGTTCTATTTTATTATTAGTTACTATTGTAAATCTCTTACTGTACCCAATTTATAAAATATACTTTATCGTAAGTATGTATGTAGAGAAAAAAACATCATAGACATAGGGTTTGGTACTCCCATGCTGTCAGGCATCCACGGGGGTCTTGGAACATATCCCTGTCGATAAAGGGGGGCGACTGTAATTGCATGGACCATTTATCAACATTATGACATATTCAACAGCTACTTATCTTTTTCTTTCGTTGGTGAAGCATGATGTATTTAAGCATCCCCCTCTTGTTGGTCATTTTGATGACCTCTAATTCATTTTTGTCATTGCAAGTAATACCATATGGAATATCCTTGAACATAAATCTTCATGCATCTCCAGTTGTTTCCTTAGGATAAATTTCTACATGTAAATTTATTGTGAGGAAAGTTATGAAAACTTTAAACGCCTTTACACACACTGCTGGTCGGGACTACAGAGATGTTTCAGGTCATGAACATGGTGAGGATTACATGGGTACATTCATTTGTCAAAACTCATTAAACAGTACACATATACGGATGCATCTTACTGTATGTAAAGTGAATTGTTTTTAGTGTGATGGGGTGAATAGGCCTCGCATAAACAGGGCCGGAAGCAAGACGCCCACCTCCCGCCATCTCTAGGGCTTTTGTTTTCCTAATTGAAGTGCCCATACCCAGGGGAAGGCCTGGCTGCTCTGAGGTAGGAGGGGATTTTAAGCAGCTGGGCGAGGGAAGGGGAGGAGGAGGAGATTTGAGGCAGCTGTGGAGGAGAGGCACTTTGGGGCTGAGACAGCTTGTTCAAGGACATTTGTGTGAAGTCAAATCATGGGATGTGTGACGAACTTTCCCGCTTGTCCCCTCAAGGAGTCTTCAGCCACTGGTCACCGGCACATGGTGAAGGCAGATTCACACACACGACTTGGGTGCCTTGGGCTGCCAGTTTTCCGTCTAGAAAAGTTAGGGGCATAGAGGGAGTGCGGTGTTCAGCCCGTCGCTGAGGGGACCGGGGCCCAAAGCTCTTTGGCTCATTACTTGTAAGTTCCTACAAGATGCTGGTGTTGGGTGGGTGCTGTCTTCCCAGAATTGACCACCCAAGGCCCCACGGCACTGAGTGCACCAGTCACTGCTGAGGTAGAAGAGAACCAAGGGAGAAGGTCATGGTGGACTTTCAAGGTCAATGAGGCATTTGTGGGAAGGCCACACTCTTCTATCACGTCCCTATCTCATGGGAAAGGGAGGGAAGTCAATTCCTGTAGCAGCAGGAAGGGGCATTCAACGGATCCTTTCCTTGAAGACAAAACCCTAAGAGAAATACCCAGAGTTAGGGGTAGTGGTCTGAATCATTCTTACCACCACCGAGTTAGGGGCTGAAAACCAGCTCTCAACTGACCATGAGCCTGACCACTGGACCTGCAGGCGGAGGTGCAGTGGAAGCAGGGAGGCCAGTTGATCTGGAAAGGCTATGTGAGTTTCCTGTGGATTAAGTGACCCAAGAAGGCAGCTGGACTTGAGCTGACTTGCTTACACTGTACCCCAAGAGGGTGGTGTACTGGATAAAGGCACCCCAGTACCAAGAGCCTGTGAGGAGGGCTTCTCTCAACAGGGGCCTGCAAGACGGGAAGAAGAGGTTCACAGAAGCCATGTTGCTCAAGCTGGTTCCCACAGATTCTGCCAGAGAACCAACGTGTGGCCCAAGAGAGCCAGCATGGGGACCCTACTACTGAAGGGATCCACGAGCAGGGTAACAGAGAGCAGCCCCAGCCAACAGAACGTCAACTCCAACTTTGCCTCGAGAATCCGATGAGGAACTCCAATGCAGAACCTCACAGGACTGGAAGATACAGAGGAAGCTCTGGACTTCTCCACTCCAACCCCATCCTGTACCTCGAGCCCAGCGTGCGTGGGGTTCAAGGCATTGGCTAGTGTCTAGCTGGGGTTTAAGTTTTAAAACAAACAGGACCCAGCCTCAGGATCCAGTAGCGATGGTTTTAATACTCAAAAGTAACTAGAAAGTGATTGAATTCAGCTGAAAGGTCTTCACTAGCGATGCTACCGAGCTGTTAGCAGTGGATCAACATAACAGAGTTGGGAGCAGGTTGTGGAAATGCTAAAACTGTGTTGTGGTTTAATTGGCTAAATTACCCCCGCAAAAAAAAAAATATGCTGAAGTTTCAACACCCAGGACTTCAGGATGTGACCTTTTTTGAAAATAAGGTCATTGCAGATGTAACTAGTTAAGATGAGGTCACAGTGGAGCAGGGTGAGCCCCTCATCCAGTATGGCCAGTGTCGTTATAAGGAGACGGCCATGTGAAGACTGAGGTAGCAATTGGAGTCTTGCAAGCCAAGGAATCACCAAAAGGTAGGAAGAGGCAAGGAAGGCTTCTACTAGATGTTTCAGGGTAGCAGGGCCCTGCCAACACCTTTGATTTTGGACTTCTGGCCTCCAGAACTGTGAGAGAGTAAATTTCTGTTGTTTTAAGCTACCCAGTTTGTGATACTTGGTTAAGGTGGACCGAGTAAACGAATACAGTTTCCTGGCTTATAAGTCATCCACTACACCAGCCCCTGTTCCCTAGCCCCTTCTACAAACATCTCTTGCTCCAATGGGATGAACTTGGCTTGAACACACATTGCCTGAGGGGAGGTGTACAGGCAATAGGGAGGTGTTCTTGTGCGGCTGGGGGACTTTGGGGTGGCTGTCATTGAGAAAGTCACTGATCACATTTCCCACCCAGGTTTCATATCCCTTTGAAGGGAGTTTATGACCACCGCGGGGCTCTGTGTAGGTCTACTGGGTTGGTTTGTGCTACAAAGTGGGGAGCCTTCAAAGATGAGGAGGTTGGCATGACCTAGAGGACAAAGGTGGTCAGGGTCCCCCTGACTGTGAGAGCTCCTGAGAAGTCCCCAAAGCTTGGCAGTTCCCTCGAAGCTGCCCTGATGTCCCACCGGGTCCCCTCAGTGAGATGCCGGTAAACTCAAATCCCCAGCATCATGGATTGTGATGTCCTGAGTTTTCCCCCAGATTCCCGCAAATTCCCAACAGAGGTCTCCTCTGCCCACACCCCATCCACAGCTCTCCTGTGTCCTAACTCTCTCACGTTGACTGGGGCACAAAACTCAGTTTTTCCACCCGTTTCTATGCAGGGGCATTCACTCTGAGTATATCGTGAGAATTTAGAACGTGCACTCAAAGGCCAGGATGGAAGCCACAGAGTGGTCTTTGTGACTGGCCAGCCTCCCTTCACCTACACACCCTCCCTCTCCTCATGTCCCCCCTCTCAATAGATCAACTGGCAGGTTCGCCCCCAATCTTACATAAAACAGCTCTGCCCATGCCCAAGGTCCCCGGTAGCTCTGCCAGGAGCACTTGTCAGCATAGATGTGTTTCATCAAACAAATTCTGTTTCCTTTCTAAGTGGAATTCAGGTACCACCTAAATATGTATTTGTCTGTTTCTTGTGTTATTTCTGAAGGCAAGAGTAAAAAGCTCTTTAAGAAAGGGAAAAAAGGACTTTGTTTGGTTTTTGAGACTCCAGGAAAGAACTGGGGGGCCCTGGGCCAGCCACGTGAAACCTCTCAGCCACCATGAGATGGGAGCAAGCTGAACCCTGGGAAATGATCATTTTAAAGAGGCACAGAAGGAGCCCAAAGTCCTGGGGCCCAACTAGAAGTCAGAGGCGAGGGCAAAAGCCAGCAGGGTCCTCAAGACCAGGAAGACTCCAGGGTCCTGAGCCAGGGACTCCGTCCAGCTGGCCAGGGAGTGCTGGGCGCGAGTGGGCTGCATCCCTCCACTGGAAACAAAAGGGTGGTGACCAGGACCGTGGGCCTGGACGGGGCCCAAGTCACCTGGCCTCAGGTGATTCTGACAACAGGTGCTATGGAAACAAGACAGCCAATAATAACACCAAACCCAAGACACTTTCAATATACTTTATTAAAAAGTTTCTTAGTATAAATTTCCTAAAAATTTTAAAATTAAACTTAGACACCCTCCCACCCCCCGCACAAAATAAAAACACACACAACATTAGAGGAATGCCAAAAATATTCTCTATTATGACTTTCTTCTCATTCTTTAAAGACGGCATTGGTCCCACAACAGTCCACAGAAATTAGGAGAGTTTGTTTCCTTCTAACTCGATCGCTTGTTAGAGGCTTCAGGAAAAGAAAATGCTCTCGAAATTTTAATCCAGGGTATTGGGAGAAAAACAGAAAAGTTGGGCACTTGTTTATTCACCATACACAGGCTTTCCATCTAAAGTCATGCTTAATGAAGACAGGGGGGAAAAAAAAACAAACCACGAACCAAGCAGAAGTATATAGAGTAGCTGTGAAGTTGGGGTTATTTTCTAGACCTTACATTTGCCTGGAACAGGCATAACGTGAAACTCCAGACGGAATTTGAGTTGATAGGAATGTTCACATAAACGCCAGCAGTGGATAACTATTACACAACATTCAAAGTATATGATATTACTGCCTGGAGACAAAGAGCGTTGGGTCCAGACACACTTAGCACCATATCGATAGGTCAGGTGGCAGAGCGGTCCCTCCTGAGTTCGAGTGTGAGTCGAAACATGAAACGGTACAGTGCCAGGGGGTCTACACCCAGAGCTTCTGTGAAGACGGCTTGCAAAGGGCTGACTTCTTCAAGAGGTACGTGTCACTGGGCGGCCACTCTTAGGTCCCAATTGCACTGATGACTCCAGGGTTGACAAGCACTGAGCAGTGATGCAGGGGGCGGGCAGGGGGAGAAGAGGAGAGGAGACAGCCACATTACTGACCGCGAAGGACACTGAAAACGATCCCAGGCCACTGGTTTTCGTCACCCATCTCTGCTCCAAACCTTCAATGGTTCCCCGGGAGCTTCTTGGCCTGGGGTTGGGGGCTCTCTGCAACCGGGGCCCACCCTCTCACTTCGCATCACCTGCCCAACTTTCACGCGAGCTGAACTCGCCCATCCTGGCACTGGCCCCAGGTGCTCGGGGCAGCTGTGCTTATGTTGTTACCCATCGAGTTGCCCGGCATAATACAGATATTGGGTGGCCCCAGGATCAACATTATTGTTTAGAGGAAGCACAATTATTTAAACATGAATAGATGGGGCTATTTATCTTTGGTGTTATCTATAATCGTTCATTATATCACTTCCCTTACAATCGTGTTGATTATAATATTTTACAAATAACAGGGACTTTAGTCACATTTCCAAATACTGAGGAGTAGTTGGCTGTGTATTTCTTCACTGGCAAAAAAATACAAGGATACCTGTATGTTTTTAGGAAATCACAACAATTCAGAAAATTAATTTCATTATGTGGTTTATTTGAATATCTTCCTTATCTGAAGATACAATTTATCTTCTTTTTCATAGCTATCATAATCGCTCAAATGTCTTTAAACGCTTCCTTATGGACCTGGGTCTCTTATCTGATTTGCAAATGTCACAAACACAAAAGCATAATCACTCACCAGGGGCGCAAACCTTTTCACATTCCTTCTGTGAATTAAATCGATTTTCATTTCCACCGCAGCCTCCATACCAGAACCTTGCACAGCTCTTGGTCTGAGAATCATAGTACCACTTTAATATAAATTTCCGGCAAGTTCCTTCTTCTTTTGGCAGCTTACATATATCTTTAAAAACAAGATGAGGAAAGAGCAGAAATTAAAATGTGCAAGTTACTGAGGTCTGAGTGTGAGGGGCTGAAGGTCCCGTCACAGACTGTCGGAGACAGACCAGCAGAGCAGAGAGGAAAGCTCCCTAAAACTTCCCAAGCCTCAGTTTCTTCCCTGTCAGATGGACATAATTCTGGCCGACAGCTGCCTGAGCAGCAGACAAAACCATATCAATGACCGGACCTGATAAGCTGCCCTCGGAATCCCAATGTCAGCTGTCAGTATTGGATAATTTAAGGTGAAATGAACGGTTTCCCCTTTCCAACCACTAGGCCTTCTATTCTCCGATCCTTTCAATGCTAAATCCCAGAGAAGAAACCGAATTTTAAAACCTTGGCATTTTCTACTCGTTGGCAAAACAGCAATTAATTCTGTCAGAATACACAGTTCAAACATAAGGCTCTACATTTCACTGCCAGCCAACTAGATTGAAAATCAAAGTTAAAGTGGAAAAGAAAAATTCTTAACGGTGTGTATGTGTGCATGCGCACACGCGCATGTGTGCAGTCCAGTGCCTTCGTGACTGGCCAAGTTAAACAAATAAGTAAAAAGAAGTGCTAACACTGATGCAGAATTCACCACAGCAAAAAATGTCACATAGTGAAGCTATTTTGAAGGCTGAGAAGCATTCTTTTTCCAGTTAAGGAAGTTTATGTTTGAAATGCATACTTCTGATGTGGCCCAGCTGCAAAGTAAAAACTATGCTGTCCACAGTGCTGGGAAGGAGAGGTTTACAGCGCGCACACAGGAAAACTCCGGTTGACACAGTTTTCTGGCAAACTCCAGACTGTGCTGCGTTAAGAGGGGCATTTGTGTCAACCATTATCTGAAAGTTCGAAAAACGTAACCCTTCTTTCAAAAACCCCCCTGGAGAGTCTGACGCTATGTGTTTATGTGAGTAGCTAAGGCCTGAATCACCAGCCCTCCCCACGCAGGCTGACATCTCCATGGGCTTCTGTCCCCAGTTACATGGGTTGCTCACAGCTGCAGAGTTGCTGAGCATGTGTGGTTCTGATTGGTACCAAGATGGGAAAAGAAAACCTGAGTCTTCCGGGAGAGAACCAACGCGTGGGTCTACATGATGGGCCAGACTCCAGGGCACACAGGACTAAAGCTCAGAACTGGTCTAAAACGCTCCCCGGCAGCTTAGGGGGAGCTGTCACCCAGGCATGCGGACTGGAGGTGGCCCAGCTACGTTTCCCAGTTACAGGCCCTCTCGGAGGCCCAGGAAGCCAGCGGCGTCACCAAGAGCCTTTGAAGACCCAACGAAGCCAGATAAAGTGATGACGATTCACAACAACCACTTTCTGCCTCTCAAATGTGGTAACAACTGAAGGGAAATGCCTGGGTTTCAAGGAATGTCCTGGAGAGGACCGAGCAGGGCGGGATCACCCAGCCACCAAAACGTATCCCTCGCTGACTGGCGGGTGCCCTGTGCGCATGAGGCCCAGACCAAATGGTTGGCTCATCCCCCTCCCTTCCTCCTCAGAGCATCACCGACATGGCCCACGTTTGTTCCACTTTATTTGTGCCAACTGCACTCAGCTCTGGCCACCTGTGTTTAGTTATTCCCTTCCCAGTGCCCTGCTCCCTTCTGAAGCAGGCACGAACTGTCCTCCCAGATCCAGGGACACCCGGCTTGGGGGCCATCCTGCAGCTGGACACTCTGCTCCCTGACCGACTGGCTTTTCCAGCATCCTGAGATTTTCTCCTTATCCCTCCAGCACCGAAGAATCACCCTTGCATTCTGCACCCTTTATTCGAGCGCAAGTCTCTGTTGAGACCCTGTGTGGTTTACTAATGGAGTGTAAGGGCACTGCTCTAGTGGATGTGCAGATACTTGTGAAACCAAGAGAAATATCTTAATGAGGGCCCCACACTCTTCAAAGACAAAAACCTGCGATTCTCCACTTTTCAAGCATGAAAATGGGAGTTTCTAAGCCCTTAAGGAGCCTTGGAGTTTTAAACTCCCATGGTTGCGATTTCTGAGACACATTGTGTGGACCAGAGTCACTGTGCTGTGTCTACATATGTGAACACAACCATTTTAAAGACAAAAAAATGTCTTGGTGTCCAAAGAGAGACGGATCGTTGGCCGTCATTGAGCTCTTCCCTAGAACAAGTCTTTGGACTTGTGATTGTTCATGTTTTCCCTCCAAAATGAGCTGCCTCTTTGAGCATGACCCTGGAGGGAGCCTGGAGCCCTCACGCTGACCTAAGAGGTGCATCTGGCTGGACCTCATTTTCTCGGCCTTATGTTGAGAACCCAACAGGAGCCAAGAAGACAATAGTGAATGAAGGTTATTGATAACCTTTCCTGGCTCACTTTTGCCTAGAACAACATTAAAAAGCTTGATTTTAAAGGAAAGGCATGAAGGGCCGCCTGATTTGGATGACCATCTGCTAAAATCTCCTGACGAAATAGCGATGGGTCATTGGGCTTCATTGAGTATCCAAACATGAAAGGAAACTGATGCAAAAGCAGCATTTGGATAAACCCCACTCGGGGAGCCCAGATGCCAGCCTGGGACGTCCTAGAACAACAACCACAGGGTGGAATCACCCTAGAAACATTGTCTATTTTGGTAATCAAAACATGCGTGCATGTGTGTGTGCGAGCACGTATCCACATATAGTATTCATGGAAAAAAAGCAGGAAGAATATGCGTTGGGTCATTAAAGGCGGTCGCCAATGCTACAACTACAGGAGTCATAGTTTCTTAAATTTTTCTGTATGTTCTGAATTATTCACAATGAATATTATTTTATAATTAGAAAAAGATATTACTCTTTGAAACAAAAATATTTTGAATTGGAAAGCATGCCTTTTTATTGTTTGAGATTTCTTTGGTGTTTAGAAGCAGCAGTTTTAAAGGCATCAGCTTTGACATTTTCCAGAGCAGCAAGTCGTCAGCATTTCAGTGCTTCTTTGAGCAAGATGGGAATTGGAGGGGTGAGTGTTTATGCTGCAATTGTGACTTTGTCCTGCACAGGTTTCATGGTTTCACAAACAAGGCTTCATAGAGCTCAGACCCAACATTGTTGATGTGGTATAAATGCTTCCAAATCTCAGAAGCAGGTATGACTTGCTTGAATGAAAAAAATTTTCCTGCATCTACATTTTGAGCATTGATGGGCTCAAAAGGTACCAAAGAAATTGTGGTATTTTTAACTTTATTTTAAAGGTAGCTGGGGTTAAGTTTTGGACCCTTTGCTCTTTCAGATCTTGACCAATAGACTTTTTAAAATTCTTATACTTGACAATAAACATGCCAAATGCCCTTTGAGACCCATCATAACCTAAATATTGCACTGACATATACACATTCTCATGCAGCCATAAATACGCAGCCTTGAAAATGGCTACTTCTCGTTAACTATGCAGAGAAAGTATTTGTAGCTTTTTAATTGACCTCAGCTTGTGGTGTTAAGTTAGTTCTTTATATTATTATTCACATAAAGTCATGTATTTTCCTTACTACATCATTTTGTGCCAGCCAATTTTATATATTTCTAGTGTAACATGGCCAACCAAATACTGCATTTCATCAAACTAAGAAACCTTAATTTTGCTATGCACTATTATTTTATATTCTACAAAGTAGACAAAACACTGTCAAGAAACCATGACATGTCACCCATTATGTCACATTTCAATTTCAGAAGTGTTACCATGAGGGAATTGCATATCTCAGAATCAATAAAATAAGTAAAACATTGGTAAACTTAATTTCTTTCAGAGTAATATAATCAATCCAGCTATGCCTGCTCAGACAAAACCTGGTCACCTCTACTGATTGCTAATTTCTAGAGTAAGTAAAAAAGCATGTTACACATTTTGTTAGTTACTTTGGCTCTCTTTTGCATTAAAACTTTCCTTCAGTATGTATGGATAAGCCAATAATTTAGGATTCATTTTGTAATATTGCAAAAAGTAAATTTTCTAAGTAAAATATTTTGGGTTGTTTCGAAACTTCAGAGAATCTTACCTTTGGTCATAATATGGATGGACAATATCTACCCAAGGCTTCTTTAGCCAAAAATGAGAAGGAGGAGGAGAGAATTGGTGACAAAAACCTAAAACCAAAATTAGAAACTACAGAGCACTCGAAAACCAGCAGTAACCAAGCTTGCTGCAGGTGTCTGGCAGCCCAGGCTTTTCAAGGCGGTGACAGTCACTGAAAGACACACTTATTTGTTGTAACTGCCATTTACAAGCAGCAAATCCATCACAGAAAAGTGTGATTCTTTTAAATGCTGAGGGAAGTGAAACAGCGAGATGGGATTTTGTGGGGCAAAGGGAATTTGCTTTGTTTTGTTGAGAGAAATACAAGTATTCAACATTTAAAACAGAATCATGTAATATTGCAAAGCCTGGACTCTGAGTAATGACGCCATCAGTCATTCATTCAAAACGGACCTTCATCTCAAAGCCAAGGCCTTCCTGCCACACACACTCTCCACACCAAACAGGGTCAGGCCCTACTGGGGAACAAAGACTGAGGGCCTGTTAGAGAAGTATTATTAAATGTGAATTTCAAAAAGGGTGGACGTGAACATGTGTCAATGAAACAAAAGAGTTAAAACTGCTCCCTTTGTGTCCCCTTCTGTAGATGACATGGACGAGGGGCCGCTTAGTTTCACAGGGTTTTGCCCACAGGTTCCTGCATAGACTCAAACACTGGTCACCATGTTTCCTAAACCAAAGTGCTAAACATGACAAAATACAGTTCCTTAGAATAGAATCAAACCCCAGTGGAGCTTTTACTCGTGGGGTAAAAGAACAAGGAAAAGTATCTAACATTTAATAGTAAGACAGGAGCACAACTCTGTAAATACACACCATGTTTCTAACTGACTGGTGTTGCAGAAAATAAAAGGAATTAAACTGCATTCATGCTCAGCCAGAAAAGCTATTCTTAAAATTTGATTTTGCCTGAGTTGTCGAAAAACTACATCTTTGGAGAAATAATGCATACTGTAATAATTGATATTTGGATGCAAAACGTATGTGCAACTAGCAAGTAAGCATCCAGTTACCATATTTTTCACTTCTTTTTCTAGCCACAAAAATATGAATATCATTAAAATGCGTTTGTCCCCAGGGAAAATTTCCAAGATGACTTAATAATACGGGGGCAGAGGAGAGGCAGAGGCTGGGAGGGAAGACAGCAAGACAAGCCTTCGACTCCTAATTCTGTTTGCCCGTTTTGAATTTTAAACATTGGGAGGTCAATATCCAATTGATTTAATTCCACTGAGTAACCGTGCATTGAGCACCTTCACCAGGCAAAAGGCACCTTTTGGTTACAGTGTAGACCAATTACGCAGTGCCCTGCTCTAGCAAAAACAAGTGATTCCTGACTTCACGCTGACTTGACTCACGAGTGGGGAATACACACATGTGAAATGGTGAAAGCACGTCCGAGCCCTGGGTGTGAGGGCTACATGCTCATCAGGATGAACGAGAAAGGTTTAGACAAACTACTTGCAACCTTGAAAGACACACAAGCCCCCATTTCAAAAACTCTTTTGTCTCTACCATATGGAGAGAGGACGCCCAAGTGGTAAAGGTCTGGATGGAAAACACCTTCCTACTTCTCAATCTGTGACTCAGGCTTAAAAAAAAAAAAAAAAAGACCAGCCCAGCCAGCTTCTTGTTTAAAGATTGTGTTGTTTATATTAACTCAACACTGTTTATATATTCTTGTCCCTTCTGGACCACACATAAGAGAACCAAAAAACATCCCCAAAGCTGGCTGTGTAGTTAACACCCGTTTTCTCTCAATGAAGCACTGAATTTGCTAGAAATGTTACATTTCACACACTCAGGGGTGAAGTTACCGATGAGCGGGAAACAACACACCCGGATCTCAGTGACGTGGAAGTTAGAATTTCATCCATCCTGACCCGTATCTTCGGGAAATCCTCCGAGTCCTCTGTGGCTTCTCTCTGGGTTAAAGCACCATGTCAGAGGGGACTCAGAGAGGAGCTGGAGTGGGTTAGGAGCTGCAGGGACCCAGTGCAGGGGGCAAAGGCTTCGGATGGTCCCTCGCTGCCACACTCAGAAAACTGCTGATGAGCAGAGATGAAAGGGGTTGAGACCGAAGTTTTTTTCTCCATCCAAAACCCTTGCCCCACATTCCTGCATCCATTGTCTTGTTCGTTGGAGTTGAAAAATCTTATCATTAGACGCTTTTATGAAATATTTTTATACAGTCCCTATGACATTAAAGCCTAATTACCCAATCTACCATAAATTCCTGAGTAGTTCCCACAAATTTCTATCAAGAGGAGAGGATTTCTTGGTTTTCTGTCAACCTTCCCATTAGAAAGGCAGGGGGGTTTGGAGACCGCATGACTGCCTCTAATATAGACCGATTCTTAAGCTTGTTCCCAAAGCAAACAACTTCAAACGTTTTCCAGGTTCACATGCCCTTACTGTACGTCTATGTGCATAATAGTTTCAAAATTCCTTCACTGACTCAGCTACCTCCTTTCTTGTAATGCCTGATGCCACATGTCAGTATGGGTTGTGTCTGCATCAAGGGAAGATAGATAGATAGATAGATAGATAGATAGATAGATAGATAGATAGATAGATAGATAGATGATAGGTAGATAGATGATAGATAATGACTGATAGATGATAGATAGATGATAAATATAGATAAATGACAGATAGATAGATAGATGATAGAGATAGAGATAGAGACACATATACATGGACATAGGGAAAATCCATTGATGCAATAATATATTCTAACAGCAGAGAAGATTCCCACTAAAAACAGCTAAAAGAATCAGGAAGCTCTACTCCCAAATGGACCCACAGAGATGGGTGTGTGGAGTCAGAAACCATTCAACTTTGTTTAAACACAGAGGAGACAGGGTGCAGAGTCTACAGAAAGGATAAGATGGAGAAACAAGTAGCATTTTAAGAACTTACAGTGGAAAGACTAAATGAGGCATCCTCGTCGATAGCTCAAAAAATAATGTGCTGCTCCATCTGACTGCACATTTATTGCAGCACAGATGCTTTTACATCGAGCACAGCACAACAGCAACTGGGCCCCCAGCAGATGCCTTTTACCGTAATCAATCACAGAAATAAGCAGTGTAAAGAGATATGCCTCCCTCCTCCTGACTGGCGCCAACACACCACAAAATACTGACTTGTCCCCACTTTCAGAGAAAACCTTTCCTTTTGTTTATAAAGCAAAAATATCTCTAAATGCCCATGGGACTTGGACTTTGGATATTAGTACTAACATCATTTGCAGAACACAAGCAAAACATATCAATCACCAATCAGCTCCTCGTGGATGAACGACCCAAGCTCACAGTCCACTGAGCAAGGGAGGGGGTTACAGGTCTCACAGTGTTCTACTGCCCAGGAAAGAAAAAGCAAGCAATAGCTGTCAGTTCCAGGAACACATCTAACTAGTCCCTGATTAAACATACAATGTGCACAAACTCAGCCCTGGCACACAGAGAGGTATGACAGACAAGCCAGGGTGTGTGCTTAGGGAAGTCGGACCAGGACACCCATCCTGTGGGTCACTTCCAGACCTGTGTCTTTCATGGGTTCCCACCTGCGTTGTCTCATGTCCTTCTAAGCAGATTTTTATTAGATTGAATCACTGAGTGGATGAAACCTGACGCTTTGCAGTGTCACAGGCCACAAATCCAGTCTAGTCCCAAGATGAGGCAGAGGGAAAATGAAGACACATGAATTCCTGGCTACAGCCCCCAAAGCACATGCCCCATCCAATTTTCTCCAAAAGTCTGGTGACAGCTAAGGTGAGCTGCCAACTTAGAGCTTGGAAAATGCACACTATGACCATTCTGGGCCACACGGAGCTGATTCGGAACTTTCCCCATAGAAGTCGTGCCTGGCCTGAGAATTAAAGCTCCAGGAGTTGACCTAGAATCACCACTTCAAAGGCTTGAAAGTGTTTGGAAGAACGATTCCTTAGTGCGGCTAACAGACTAATGTTTTCACAACTCACCTCTTTCACCACCAGCCAATGGTTCCGTGCTCACCATTAGATTGATGGTTGAACTAGCAGCTGGCCTTGCTGGCTGTGGCGGTGGAGGCTGAGTTTTCTCTAGAAAAGAAAAATATACGCACAAGTAGGTAACTCAGACACTGACGGGCTTGGGAATCTGTAGGGACTGGGGCTAGTTTGCCTTCCTGGATTAAGTCTTCGATAAAGGTGGGCCCCTGAGTCATGGAGCCCGAACGCGTCTCCACACACACTGCTGAAGTCTGTTGTCGGCAAGTTGGATTCATCTCAACAAGCAAACAGGAAATCTCTGAACTCCGAACAGATCCTCTCATTTACCACATAACCTCTTCTGTTTCCAGCCAAGAAAACAGATCCCTGGGCTTGAAGGGTCTTTGGACTCTTATCTTCATGGATTCCATGGTGACTGGTGGGCATTCCCTTTCCTCAAGCATAGTTCCTCTGTCTGAATAGCACCGGCCCAAAGAGAACGGAATGTGAGCCCCCACACAACCCCCCGGAGAAGCAGGGGTTGAGAAGAATGTGAGCTGGGGGACAACAGACAGCAGAGGACAGAGCCCCCGCACGGCGGGACCAGGGCAGGCAAATTCTGATATCCTTTCTGCAGTGGCTGTGGACGTCCCATGGCCCCCAGGGTGGTGTGACTCCTCGGTCACTCCCAAAGGAGCCAGTGACTCTCAGTGCTGTTTTCTGTTCACTGAACATGGAAACACGCTTCTAAAACACGGGCGGTCGAGCCCCAGCCAGGTTACAGTTATTTCTTTCCCCCATGGAAGGGGCTGCACTCAGGCCCAAAGGATCTGCCTTCCTCCATAAAGGGGACCAGGACCCCAAAGGCAGGGCCACAGTTCACAAGGAACCCCGTTTTCCATTTTTGAAGCTGGGTGCCACCAAAACACCCAGGATTCAATTTTAACCTTGTTATTGTATCAGAACAGACTGGATGGAGAACTGTTCCCTCTGCATCCTATTGACATTCACGTGAAAACCACTTCTACATAGAATACCAAGGTACCCACTTTCCTTAAACTGACCGTGTACTTACTTGTGCTAAAACTTCCTTGGTAGGTGGCCCTGACCTGAGACCTCAGGTAGCAGACCACGGCCACATGGTACTTCTGCCCGGCACGCAGGCCGCCGATGACACGGTCTGTGACCGTGACGTTCTGCTTCAGAACCAGGGACTGGTCGTAGGCCGAGGTCACAGTGAGGTCATAAAAATAAGGACCGGGGGGCTCCGGCCTCTCCCAGTGGAGTTTGGCGCTGTTCTCTGTGATCCCGGACACCTGGACCTCTCCGGAAGCCTTCGCTGGAAGGGAGATCAAAGCAGAGTGCAGACATCAAAATAAAGCCCTAAGTGACCGAAACCCACAGGCGAGATGAAATCTGAGAGGCATGCATCAGCAGACAGTTGATCGGAAACTGAGGGGAAACAGGGAACTAAATTCTTGTTCAAGTTCAAATGTGAAATTCATAGTAATTCAAAATCGCTTGATTCATCAGCATTGATGAAAAAGTTTCCTTTTTCCTGTCAAAAATTTCTCTTATTAAAGAGATACTCTGAAGACACACGGTTTAGTGTGCTAATCTGAGTGAAGTGTTCAATACAGAATGACCTCATAATTAAATTATATTAAGTCATGAAACTTCAGGGCATGACATGAAATTCTTTTAAAGGAACCTCTGTTTTTTCTCTGTTCATAAAGTGAAGACAATGTCCATGAGCTTTTTCCATGAGCAAATGCATTGTGCCTTCACCTTTCTGTAGTTTGTGACACTCTACAGTATCTTCTAGCATCTTCTTTGAGGGCAAACAATAACATAACGCTGAGTCTCACGAAGCCCACCTACACCTTGTGTCTAACACGGCCTGAAACCTGCTTTCCCGCGTGCGGTGCTAGCACGTACTTCAGTCCGTGGAGGGAGGCTGCGGCCCGGGCCCAGGCTTAGCTTGCTGAACTAAACGCCCAATATTGTGGGGCCTCTTTTCTATGGGAACGTGCTTCGTCGCAGGACAAAGTCTGCAACGCAAAGCTCCTTCCAGACCTTCTGGAATCCCACCCTCAGGGAGACGGGTCTGGCTCCAGGACCCAAGCATCGCAACTGCCACTGCGCTGCCCAGGAGCCGACAACAGGCTTCTTCTTTCTCATTCCCTAAATGGTCTAAGACCCTACCGTCATCACTTTAGCTTAAGATAGCAGATGTCCAGGAGAGAAGGGTTGTGCCGCCTGCTGACTCACCCCAAGGCAGGGCACGGGGCTCGGGTGGGAGTGGGAGCCAGTGAGAGACTCACAGGGCATAAGAGAAGATCGCTTTGTAATATAGGAACAAAGCAAGGTTTTGGCAATCCCATGCTCTGATCGGCACCTTTTATTTTATTTTTAAAATTTTTTTTTTAAGATTTTTATTGGGGAATTGGGGAAGGGGAACAGACAAGTTGCTATCCTTTTGTTCTTCAGTCTAGTTGTGGAGGACGTTGCTTCACTGGCCCAACTTGGCACCATCATTGTGCTCTTCCCAGGCGAGGCAGATCAGTCACCGGCTTCTGGACAGCCGCTTACGGCGGCTG